TTGAGTCTCTCGTGAAAACCAAAGTGAGTTGCAAATGAGTGTATCTCTCGACGACTATCTCAGTTTATTGAATCGAAAGCCTCCATGAGATTCACATGAAGAGGGCTTGTGGTGGCTGAAGATGTTTGCAGGACTCCTGCTGTAGCTGTCGAGCAGCAAAACCAGACTCTCCTTGCTGCCAGATTGTTCTTCGAAGGTTCATGCTTTCCTACTGCATATTCACTTGTATCTCTCCAATCGTCGGAATGAGGTCAGGTAACAGCTGCACTTCCCTCTGGGGCTGTCTGTGCACTGCAAGCCTGTGGACGACTTTAATTTGGTTCGGGAGTCTGCTGAAGTGTTTGCTATTTGTCGTTTATTTATTTGTCTATTTGATATTTATCATTTTTGTAAGTGGCATCTGTTACATTCCCGTGTAATTATCCCACAGAGGTTGAGCCGAATTATTACGTGGCCCGTGGATGGCTGTAGAAGCATCTTAGGACTGTTTCTTCTCCGCCAGGTGGCCGATTCTTCGATCTGCTCATTTTGTTGCTCCTGCGGTTCGTCAGCGATGCAGCTGGGCTGTTGCGTCCGCCAGTTCCGAACGTCTGGTTGTTGGTGCTGCTTCTTGGCCCCAGTGCTCGCACAGGCAAGGGGGAAATGCCGGTTGCCGGCTATTTTATGTGATGGTTGTCACTAACCCTGTTGGAGCATGGTAGGCAAAGTTGTCCGTCTTTAGCTTTCGGTGTTACAGACTGCCTCGCTCTTGTGATGATAGGTTGAAGTCTATTAACCTAGGTCCCGGACCTTTCGGACGTTGTATCTTAAACTTTGTGCGTTCTTTGGTGGAGTGGCATCAGGCCGACTACCAGGCTGTGTTCGGACATTTTGGTTGTCCGTTTCATAGCCGGCTCACTCCTTGTTTACAAACTATAACGTAATCCAGTAGATGATAGTGGCTACTGAATGGGTGAGTCCGTGTAATGGTGTTTTAATAGCCGCGTAGTTTCAACAAAAACACCGCGAAATCCAGTACTATACTGTCAAAAACTATTCATACGGACGGGCCAATCGACGCATCTGCTCAACGGTCGTCTCGACTCTGTCTCACAGTATCTAGTTAGATGCGACGTAAGGTACGCTGACAACCATGTTTTCGCATTTTCCGATTTAATGACCAGTCCTAGGTGTTTGTTTCATTACTTACCCCCCATTTTGACCCAATGGCGGAAGCCCGAAAACATTAGTGTTCGTCATTATGTTCACGCAATGATGTGTTGCTCATCGCGGCGAAAT